ATTAAGCCCCCAAAACCAAAACATTTGGAGGGGAGCTAAAAGCAGGAGGCTCCAACTGGTCACTGGAAAGGAGAAATGTGGTTGATTTAGTACACTAATAAAAGCTGAAGCTTGAAAATTACAATGTTTGCACCTGTAATTCTACTTACTCAAAAGACAGAAGCCGGAGGATCTTGAGTTTGTGGGCAACCTGGGTAAAAATTGGTAAAACTATCTCAAAAACAAAATACAAACACAAGTAGGGGTGTGGCTTAAGTAGCAGAATGCTTGTCTACCATGTGTGAGATCCTGGGATCCATCTCTGGTAATCTTAGAGAGAAGAGAGAGAGAGAAAGAGATATGGGGGGGGGGGGGGCGGGGAAGGAGGTGGTGGAGGAAGAAGGGGAAGAGAAGAAGAAGAGAAGAGGAGGAGGAAAGAAGAGAGAATGAAACTCAAAATGACAAAATAGAAAATGGTCCATGTCCAGAGGCATGTGTCTTCACCAGTCCTCCTGGCATGTTCTCCTGACTAGTTTAACAATTCTCTGGCTTGAAGAGCTTAATGGTATCTGCAAACTCAAAGGGATAACAATTCTCTTCAAATTATTTTTCTAACCAGTCATGAAGCTGTTTTGCAGGACTGGTCTGAGCAGTCATGCCTCCAGGAGTACACAGTTTCTATCTGCAGGCAACAAGGACCCACTGAGAACCACAGGCCTGCTACCTCTCACGTATTGTCTTTCACTCTGCATCTCCAACACAGCGATGCTTGCAAGTGGAAGGAGGGTCATCTACTCCACCAACATGCTACACTCATCTCCTCTAAAAGCTCCAGCCACATACAGTTCCCTCTTCACAAGCCATGTTGCCTTCTCCCAAGATACATCATGTGTATAAGCCTTACATTACTAGACATTTTACCCAGCATACTCTGGGTGAAATCAGGCTGAGCAGACTGAAGATTTCAGGTGCCATTTATGCATGCTCTTAGGATGTCTGCTGACAGTCTACCTGTTCTGAGGAATTTTTGAAACAAATTTGTTACATGGAACAAATTAATATCAATATTAATATTTTATATGCCATTGGGCAAAATGATATAACAAAACCACTTTTTTCTAGTTTGTTCCAAGACATGCAGTATATTTGTCAATCAGTTCATCTAGATCTGGCCCAGAATGTGCTGTGAACTTATCGAAGGACCAATCTATTTGGCTTGGGGCATCCTAGGCACTTACTAACAGGCCAAGCCACACTTTTGGCCAAGGGCAGCAGGGCCTTGGAGTAACTGGGTTGGTCAGTGGGAAGCTTTGAGAATCATAGCTTGAGAACTGGCCAATGAATTCTACTTCTGTTGGAGGAAATGGGCTAAGTAAATGTGGATGTTATCTCATCTTTCTAGTCCTCTGCCTCTTCATCTATATAATCAGTAATGTGACTCTCTTATTGCTGAGTTGGGTACACAGTAAGCAGTTAGGTATCACTAGCAAATCGGCCCCTTCTTCCCTCCCTTTTGTTTTCATTGAGGAAAGGAAGAGCCTTCTCTGTCCCTTTTGGAATGATGGCATTACTTACCCCTCTTTTGTTTTTCTTTTCAAAAACAGATTTCCACCTTTTCTTGGGTATTCAGCAAAGTATCCCGCTGTTCTTTGTTTATTAACAAACTATTCAATTGCTAGCTGACTTGCTACCTTGTCTTCTCACTCAGTCTCCTTAACCACCTGTCCAATGCTTAAATAATGTTTACCCCAGAAACTGCTCAGACCTGCAGATGAGTCATTTTGTTTCCTTTCTTTCTTCTGCCTGTTAACTACTAGTCTTCTAATCATGCGTTTATTCATTCTCTCCATAGTCTCTGTAAGGTAGAGTCCATTTAGAATTTCTCCCTCTGTTTGGATGTACTTCCAAGATGTTTTCTATTCATTAACAGAAGCTGGTTTGGTGGATTGTGGTTTTCTTTTAGGGTTTAGTCACCTTCCCTGCTAACTTTTTACTGGAATCGCCTCACTCTTTTATGGCAAACCAAGTGCCCTTTCCTACAAAACAGCTGGAATAGTGGGAGGCAGACAGGTGAGGGATTGAACAAAGTATCATGTCAGCCCCCCTGCCCAGACCTCAGATCAAGTTCCATGAACTAGAAGAGCGGGTCATGTGTCCAAATACCTTCCATGGGCTGGGCAGGGCAGGTTCCTTATTAAATGTGAGTAAAGGTTCAGTGTAATAAAATAAGGGATGGAAGATAAAATAGTCAACTCAAAATTGCAAATCCCAGTGAAGGCAACAGTGGAAAGTCAGCCACAGTGTTGCCAAAGGAGCAGGAGTGAGGTGGGGACACAGTCGCTTTTGCCAAGCCTTCAGGAACTCTGGAATCTGACTGGTTATGGGAAACACTGGAAATGTTTTAATGTTGGCCATTAATATGGCTGCTGAGTTAACTGATGGCTAAATATTCTTTCTGCCCCAACAGTCTATCACTTTATTACTAGTAAAGATTTCTTTTGGCTACTTTTGTTTGAGGAAGAGTCTTCTGGTCTCGAAACCTTTCCTCCTCATCTCAAACCAAGATTACCATCAAATCTAGTCTGAGATCAAGTTCTCTCAGTGTTTTTTCACTGATTTTATATGGTTCTTTTACTTCCTCAAGAAGTTATCATGTAAAGGAAAAGAAAATCTATACATTTAATTAAATCTACAGAACCTCAGAATTTCATCTTTGTCTTATTAAAAACAACCTGTATCATGAAATAAAATGTGGAGAGATTACCACATTGGCTGATGTATTTCAAGTTTTCTCCCAGTCCTGGTACACCATCTGGTGGCAGAACTATCTACTTGTAGCATCAGGAATTCTCTGAGAAGCAGGTGAAATAAGTAACTTTCAGAGCTCAGCTGAAATCAAATAAAGAGAAATAGTAAGAGGACACAAAAAATAGAATGAATGGCCCAAAGAACACATGCCACCTCGGAGCAATCTGCAACTTAAAAGTCTGACTGTTCAGAATTAGCTAGTAGCCATATGTAAAACTTTAAAACCCCTTTTGTCAGGAAAATTCCTTGACAAAAGACAAAAGTATTATCCTTATGTCCATATTACATAATAACATTTCCTGGAAAAAAAAGACAAGGAAGGAAGGAAGGAAGGAAGGAAGGAAGGAAGGAAGGAAGGAAGGAAGGAAGGAAGGAAAGGAGGAAGGGAGGGAGGAAGGGAGGAAGGGAGGGTGGGAGGGAGGGAGGGAGGGAGGGAAGGAAGGAAGGAAGGAAGGCAGGCAGGCAGGCATACCAGCTTTCTCACCACATATATTCATGTGTTAAAGTCCTAAACCCCAGAATATCAAATTTTGACCTTTGGAAACAGAGTCACTACAGAAAAATCAGTTACAATGAGATCAACTGAGCTAATCCAATGACTGGTGTGCTTTTAAAAATAGAAAATTCAAAACCAGACACACACCCCACAATGCCATATAAAATGAAGGCAGAAATTGGGGTGGAACAGGGGGCAAAGTGCACCAAAGTTGCCAGCCAACTTTTACAACTTAGGACACCTTGATCTTGGGCTTCTACCTAGAGAGCTGAGAACAGCCTTGTTATTATCACCTGGTTCATGGCCCTTTGTTAGAACAACCTACAACTGGCCTTGAAGTGTACATATTTCTTTTCAGTCTTAAAAACTGTCTTCAGCTGGACCCTGATGGCTTATGTCTCTAATCCCAATTACTCAAGATGACTGTGGTTTGAAGCCAGTCAGGACAGGAAAGTCCAATTAACCAACAAAAGTCTGGAAGCAGAGTTGTGGGTCAATACGTAGAGCACTATCCTGAAGCAAAAAAGCTCAGTGAGGAAGTGGTGCTGTGACTCAGGTGGTAGAGCACTCGCCTTGAGCTGAAGAGCACAGGGACAGTGCTCAGGCCCAGAGTTCAAGCCCCACGACCGACCAAAAAAAAAAAAAAAAAGCTCAGTGACGGCACTGGAGTCCTGAGTTCAAGCCCAAATCTTTTTAAAAAATTAAAGATTTCATTGTGTTGTTTTTTTAAATGTCATTCCAATTATCATTGCAAGTCAATCTACTGAATATTTTAAATTATCTACACTTAGGACAGCTAGTTGATTCCATTCAACTTTGCAAATATTTATTCAGTGTCTAACACAGTAATTACAAATGAAACAATCATGTATTACCTAGACTCACAGAATGAAAGGATTTGCATTAGAAAAGACAAAAAATCTGAAGAATTCTCATAAACACAGAAGCAAAATTCCTCAACAAAATATTAGCAAATTAAATATTATAAAATTAAATCTAATAATATACAAGTAGAATTAATCTGTATTATACAAGGCTTGTTAGAAAGTTTTCAGTCAAGTAATGTAATATATCAATTTGCCAAAGAAAACAGAAAGACATGATCATATGTGATTCTGATCAATACTAAAGAAACTGGAACCCAAACATCTGAGCAGCTAACTCCAGCTCAATCTCAGTTAGATGGTTCTAGAGCTGGGCTAAATAGTTGTGCATTGTTGGTTGCCTCCCTAAGGAGAAAGTAAAAACACATCCATTGGCAACAGTTAAACAGAACTCACCAACTTTTAAAGTCATTATGATACTGAGCCATCTTTATAACATGAAGATAGCTTTTTTTTTAACTTGGTAGTTTTCTTTTTTAAAATTTTTATTGTAAAGGTGATATACAGGTGATGTAGAGGTGTTACAATAAGTCAGGTAATGAATGAGTACATTGCTTTTTGAATAGAGTCACCACCTCCCTCATTTTCTTCCAGCTTTTTCCCTCTGCCCCACTGCCTTGCAAGGTATAATTCATTTCCAACACCGTGTCTAGTGATTATCACTGCTGAATTAGCTCATCCTTTGTCCCATAGTTTCCTGCTTCTCCTTCCCCTCCCCAAAGAAAGATAGTTCTCAAACTTTACCCCATCCAGTACCAAAGGTTTCCTTGCCAAACATAAAAATAAGCAGAAAAGCCCTAAAGTTCTAGACTTATAAGAGATTAAGATAGAAGTGAAATAGGGATGCTGAATCTAACCAGCGCCATCTTAGCCACATGGTGGATGATAGGGTATTGAGTTTGACTGGTGACATCTTGTCTTCATGGTAGAGGCAAGGAAGTCCTACCGCCCAGATGATGGGCTGCCTGAATTCCTAGAGGCAGGGGCTGGGACAAGATAATAGGTTACTGGACCTGCCAGTCTTGGGTTTCAAACTCTCAAGCTCCCTGGGACCTTCCCCTTGACTTGACTCTATTTAGGCCTGGGCCAGCTCAGCACCCATACGCCATGCTTCCTGTCCTGGCTCCTGGCTCTTCAGTTACCATGGTGTCCCACTTCAGCTCTCCATTGAAGTTGATCTGGTTTGTTGGTATTGTTTTGCTCTTTCTTTCCTCTCCTGCTCTCATGGCTCCATTTTCTGAAAGTAGGTCTGTGTGACAAGAGGCTACCTGCATTCTCCGGCTTTCCAATAAAGACTCCCAATTTGTCCTCTAAAAATGTGCCTTCTGTTTCCTTGCCATATAACAGAACCAAAAACTCAACTGAAGACAATAATGGCACTAGGTCACCACTATTACATGTACTGTGTGGCAATAAGATGGGTAGGGAAAACTCTAGGCCAGGTTCGTTGAACAGGCAACTTTTGCTCACAGAAAAACAATGAAGTCATCTAACTAGATCAAAGTGGCCCCTTATCTTTTCTCATACAAAGGAACAAAGAGGAACTTGAACTTGAGAAAATTTACTTGGTTATCTCTACCAAGGGTCTAGTTAGAAAGGAAAAGCCAGTACTTCCTTTGAGATGATATGATAACTAAACAGATTCTATATGGGTAGTAGGGTGCTGTCTCCAACAGAAATGGGGTGTGAGGACAGGAAAGGAGGACAAGTAGGTACAATGGCTGCCAGTGAACTACTCTTCTTATTAAGAGTGAGTTCAGTTTTAGCTTCTCTCCTTGATTTCCTTGTTTAAGGATGAGGAAGCCCATAAGCAAGTACATGACTTTCAGTTTAATACCTGAAAGATAACAGTACTTGGAGGTGCACATTCAACTGTAATCCTGGCACTTAGGAGGCCAAGCCTAGAGAACTGCAAGTTGAAGCCAGTCTGGGCTACCTCAAAAGACTCTGTCTCCAAAAAGAAAGGAGAGAAAGAGTAGAGAGGGGGGAGGAGAGGAGAAGGGTTAGGAAAAGAAAGGATAGGAGGAGAGAAGGGAAGGGAGCAGAAGGGAAGGGGGAAGTGGATAGAATAAGGGATAAGAGAAAGGAGAGGAGGAGAAGGAAGGAGAGACTTGCATCAAACTTTGGAGAAACTGCATAGTTGTTCAGCAGGCTTGTCCGCAGGTTAAAAAGAAACTAGACCGGTTCTGGATGAGCAGATGACCACATGCTTCCAGTATTCAAAGTTCTAAGTACCAGTAACATATCCCATAATCTGCCAGTAAATACAAAATGGGAAAGTTATGGCTTCATTTATTTTCTACAAACAATATACATAATCTACCTAACAATATATATAAAATAAACAAGATTTCCTTTCTTTTACTTTTCTTAATGCCAGAAGTTGCCTTTAAGCTTTCAACAGTGTATATATGTGAGATTATTATACGTGTGTGTGTGTTTGTGTGTGTGTGTGTGTGTGTGTGTGTGTGTGTGTGTGTGTAGTTCAGATGGTAAAGATTCTTTATGAGGCTCCAATATCTTGATGTTTGTTTTTATTGCCTCTAAGAAAATATTAAAGAAAATAGAAAATTCAAGAAAGTATTTGAGAATATTCAATAGAACCATCCCTGCAGGGTTCTCTCAAGACATAATTTCAAGTGGTGCATATTGTCATCTTTACATATCTGTGTTTTCCAGAATTTCTGTAATAATTTGGTATTACTGCTAGGGGTTATGGGGAGGAAGGGGAGAGGCACATGGCTCAGTTGGTTAGAGCACTAGCCAATGAGAGAAAGCATCAGATACCAAATTCAAGTCACAGTCTTGGACCTAACAAAGAAAAGACAGAACACAGTACAGAACATAGTTATCTTTCCAACGCAGAAAAAAAAGAAGTGTACTAGGTGGCTGTTGGACAGCTAGGACAGCCTGGCAATTCATCCCAGGATTATGGCTTTGCTAATTTCGGGGTACAATCAAGAAACCATCCAGGGTTTGTTAGCATTCCCTTAATCAAAATGAACAAAAATTCTTCCTAAATCAGTGTAGGAATTACTGGGAATTAAACCCAAGGCCTTTATGTGACCTACCTTCCCAGCCCTTTGGATGTTGTTTTGTTGTTGTTGTTGCTGGTCTTACTAGTTTACAGAGGGGATTATCCTATTTCTACACATTTCCAATGAACTCTAGTCTATCTCATCTTCTTTACTCATACTCTATGCACCCTTTAATATTTTGTTTTGAGACAAGGTCTCTCTGTTTTCCCAACTGGCCCTGAAGCAGTGATCCTTCTGTCTCTTGATTCCTAAGTAGCTGAGATTACAGGTATGTACCACAAGAACTGGATAATTTTAAATACCTTTTAAGTGTTTTGAGGCCTACTTATTCTTTGCCTATTACCACTGCTCCAGTAAAATAATAGCCTTAGTGATATGGAATTGTGGCATAGAAAGTGCTTAAAAGCTCAGGCTTTGCCAAGTAGCATCTCTGTGATCACATAAGCTGATGTCACAATGTGTCTGGGGAACTGAATCTGAGAGGCTACGCAGGGTCCCCTCCAGCTCTTCACCACCTAATGCCAGACTTCTCTCTCTCCACAAGGCAACAACAGCCATGTTTTCTCTCTTCCTCTCTCTTGCAGACATATTTTGAATCACTTCACTTAGTTGTACAAGGGGTTCCATATATAGGGATGCATCCAGTGCATCTCCATGAGACTCACCACAGCACCCTTGCTCACCCACCTCCCCCCACTCTATATTCTTTTATAAAAAGAATGGGATGGGACAAAAAGGGTCTCTTGAACCAACAGTCAAAAATCACCTTTACACACTTCTCAGAAACCAAGTATTACAGACTAACTTGAATATCACATTTATGAAACCAAAATCTTCCCCTACTTAGGTGTGTGGGCCTGTGAACCTTGGTAAAGTGGGAGCAAGTGCCTGATCTATTTCCTACCCATTGTACTTCCAGAAGCAGTTTTCAAGACTGGTTGATGTTTGTTAAGCATGGAATTCTAGACTGAAATAAAAGATAATTTTAAAGAGTGAAATATACAATCTGAACAGTTCTTGTTGAAGAGAGTTTAGAGGAGTTCAGGGGTTTCCATGGAGCTTGCCCTCATAATACCAATCACTACACTTCACTGAGAACTATGCTTCCCAAGTCTGTCTTCAGAAACTTGTGCCTAGAGCTAAAGTATGCAGGCCATGCATGCATTTTAATTGTCTTCACAACTAAAGAACAAGTCGATAGGTCTTCACTGAATGGGTATTGGAGTCAGAAGTTCCCTTGCTTTCCTTGGAATGTTCTAAAATGTTCAGGCAATTATTTGTATTTAATTATGAACATATAAGACACACATTTGTCTTTTACTGAAAAGAAAAAAGTCAAGATATGGTAGAAGAAATGTATAATACAACAAACAACAATGGGTTACTATTGTACAGTATTTAGAAAATCACTTACTATAATAGGTCAGGCTTTGTGATGTGCAATTTTAGTTAATCGTCACAACAAATATATAAGGAGGATAACAATTATTTTCCATCTTTTAAGATGAGGGATCTGGGCTGGAAATGTTGCTCAGTGGTAGAGCTCTTGTCCAACATGCAAAGACCCTGAGTTCCATTCCCAACACTGAAAAGAAATGAGTTAGCTGAGTATCAGGTAGGTCACATAATGGATGAGCTCAAGGTCATGCAGCTAGATGGCAGACCTGGACTTGGGGGCCAGGCAGGCTCTAGGGGATCCCCAACTCTGAATCTATACCAACTATGACCCCATCTGAAAGATACAGCTGGGTATATCCTCCATTTTTCTTCTGTGAGCCATTTTCCAAATATGAGCCTTGTGAGGGCCAATGTATGCAACACAAATTTGAACAAGCACATTCAGAATTCAGAGCCCTGTTGAGTAAAAAGAGTAAGAAGAAGAGGTGGTCCCTCCATCCACTAAGTCCACAAAAGGTGGCAGGCTTCCAACTGTGGCATTATTCAATTTGTCAGAGAAAAGCCAACAATGCCAAGACTGCAATGTTCTCCATGAGTCTATCAGCACATGTCCACAACCAAGCCAAGCTCCCAGCATGCGCAATGGGTCCTCACATTTTTATGATGCCTTACAACATTTATAAAAGGTGAAATGAAAGTCCACTATTTTGGATGTATGACACATGCCTCAATGTCTTTGGCATAAAGCTTTATAATGCACCATAATATTTATAGCACTATTTGAACACTTCATTTCTCTTTTTTATATACCAGAGGCTTCAAGAAATAGAAGCAGCCTGAGATGTTCAAGCTGTAGAGGACCTGACCTCCTTCTAGAACTCTTAGAGAAAGAAGTCACTGAACAAGGAGGCAGCAGAGGTATACAATGTGGGGTGTCACACTTTCTGCTCTTTGCTTTGTCTGTCATGAATGGGAAGTGGCTGTTCTGTTTTATCCTCTCCAGATCAGAGGCCCATGACACCAAGCCTTGGCAGCCCTCCTCTTCTTCAGATATCACGCAATTCTGAAAGCACATGTACTTGAAGGATAATATTCAAACCATCATAAGCCCTATAGGCCGGAATCATCATGCTCATGTACCTGAGACTGGTCTTCTAAAAACTCTAGTGAACTTTACAAATGAAATTGTCACCATCACAAGAATTCTCAGTGTCTCATTTGCAAAACACTCCCGTTTTGAACCTCTTATTTGTACTTCAATCAAAAGAAGGCATTTATAGAGTTGAACGCCTGTGGCTCACACCTGTGGCTCACACCTGTGGCTCATGCTTGTAATCTTTACTGCTCAGGAACTGAGATCAGAGGATCCTGACTCAAAGGCAGCCTGGGCAGGGCAGTCTGAGAGACTCTTATCTCCAATTAAACACACCAAAAAAAAGCCAGAATTGGAGCTGTGGCTTAAGTAGAG